GTCAATGGTGGCTCATTGGTAACAGTTTGGACCCAAATGTCTGGACAATCCTCTTAAATAAATGTGTATTCTAACATCCTGATTTCTAGCAGAACTGATTATTATACAATTGTCTTTGGAGTGTCTTAGAGGCAGTCGTCTGTAAGCTAAAATCTACCTTGTGAGACTTACTATTTATTTCCAACATTTGGTAAATCATTTATGCAAACAATTTTATTCATCTACATCATAGCATGTAAGTAGAGTACACTGAACAAAAGGGAAGCCTTTTACAACAGCCACAGTAATGCATGTCAACAAATAAATGCAAAATGCAAAGTGCTAAATGTCTTGCAGATACTAGAGAAATGAGGCCTCTCCAAGGTTGGCAACCTTTCCATGGATGCAACTGAAACAGATTGATGTTGAGTAGAGACATGTTTCTATGCACAGTTCCCTGCTCCCAATGCTCTGAGCACATTCATCCCACAGAGCAAAGTGATTCAGGAGGCCTACACCTTGGCAGTTTCCCATTCAGATTCAAATTGGTCAGGAATGTCAGGATCTGCCCCCTCCCCAACTGGGAACAGCAGCCCCTCATTCACCATGTCATGGTTAGCAGCTCTTCCAATATATCCAGTCAACTCCCTGTGGCAGTAATTTAATCACAGCAGAAACAAAACATTGTACCACCTTCTCTTCAGAGACAAACGTGAAACTGGCACCCAGATGGGGCCTGTACCAGTTGGAGACACACACCTTTAATCCCAGGACTGGAGAGGCAGAGGAAGGTGCATCGCTGTGAGATTGATGCCACCATGGTCTACAGAGTTACTTCTAGGGCAGGCTCTGTAAGGATGGAAAAATTTAGCCTAAGTCTCCACTGACCCCAGGAGTAGGCAAAAGGTCACTTTCTTAACTGTTTATGACAGGGATGTTTAAGACATCACCTGTGAGTGAGTGAACACAGGAAATGAGTCTTGTCACACCACCCACTTCCTGGGTTAAGCACAGTCCTGGATAGTTCAAATTGATTTGTCTGCACTGGATGCTATGAGATGATTGGTTTAGGATGTGTGGGCTTTGTTGTAACCCTATAAAAGCTGTCTCAATCGTGTACACAAGATTCCCCCAGTCCTCTACTGCCTCGTGGAATATGGCTGCGGACCCCAATGCTCTTGAAATATAAGAGACCTCATGCTTTTGCATCAAGACCACTTCTCATGAGTGATTTCGGGGGGCCTGAGTTTGGGCATGAGTGTATATGTGCTCTGTGGGTCTTTCAGCTCCAAAGCTACTGAGAAACCCTGTCTCAAAAAAAAAAAAAAAAAAAAAAAAAAAAAAACAAAAACAAAAAAACAAACAAAGCCATACAAACACAAATATGCCCTATAAATATTCATAATGACAGGTTACCTGAAGGGCCTGATTGGATATTGACGCCTGAGTGACAAAGGTTACACAGTCCTTAATGACACAGTACAATGTTTCCTGAAACTGTATTCCACCCCAGACAAATATATTTTCTAGATCAGCAGAGATATGCATTTATATAGCACTTGTCCCAGACTCCAAAAGCAAACCCTGCTATCTTCCTGTACTCTTTTCTTCCTTCTGGATACAATGTGGCTAGCTAGCTTGCACAGGACAGTAAGCAATGTTGTTGACGTGATTATTCCCTGTCCCAAAATAAGAGGATTCCAGGACACAACAGGAGATATTTATTCTGTAGTTTCACACTGAAATCCCATGAACTAAAGGTAGTTGTTGCATGGTTCTCACTTGGACTTCAGACTCACAGGGTAGAAATACAAAAACCAGATCTCAAAGAAGAAAATACGTGTTTATCCAATCAGAAGGCTGGGTGAAGGCTGCATTTCTCTAGAAATATGAACCCAGTCTTGTTCAAGTAGAGAACACTGAATAATGCAGACGTTTTCTCATCTGCCCACTGAGGAAGCTGTGCTGGCTCACCATAGTTCTCATAGAGGCTTTCTTCCTAGCCCCATTCTCTCCAAGTATTCAACTAACCATGGAGACAACAATTTTTATTATTATTAATTTCTCAAGAATTTGTGCTGAATTTCAGGAATAAATCCCCAATGCAATGGACCTATCATCCAGTCTTCTGGCAAGAGAAAGATTTATCGTCTTGTTTGTGCTATGGTTCCTGCATTTCTCTAATGTTTGTCTGAAGGGCCTGTGACAACCAGGTAAAATGGACCATGGCTTCTCCTAACCTAAGCAAGAAGCCACAGATTAAATATCTTCTTTTGGTGTTCTAAATCTCTCTTTAGTTTTTAATATTCTTGAGCACATTTCTATCTGTTAAGTAAGAGAATCATTCCAGTGTGCATTATATAATCATCTCTGCAAGCTCTTTATTTTATGTGGAGGACAAAGGAGAGAATGAACCTGTGCACTGCAGGAAAAGAGCTGAGTCATCATTGCAGACAAGTAAGTGACATTAAAAATCCTTATGCACCAGGTTGTGGTGCCCCATGCCTTTGATCCCAGCACTCAGGAGGTAGAGGCAGACAGATCTCTGTGACTTCAAGGCCAGCCAGGTTTACAGACTAAGTACCAGGGCATTGTGGAAAACTGTGTATAAAAACCAAAAATAAATAAATAATTCAATTAAAGAGAAAAATCTACTGAAAACAACAACAGTAATCACAATAATTATAATAATTGGGATGCAATAGTCCAGCCTGGTTTATAGAGATAGTTCAAGGACAGCAGGTTTCTCACAGGGAAACCTGTCTCAGAACAGCAAAAATAAATAAATAAATAAATAAACAAACAAACAAACAAATAAATAGATAGATAGAATAATGTCTCTGCAGATCTCTAAAAGTGTAGGTCTGCAGTAGAAGCCAGTGTCAGTGACCCCTGTGCTTTGACTTTAAGAACACTCTAACCTTGGAGGAAGTGCTCTTGTCACTGATGCTTCACTAGCCAATCAGGGGCATCAGTGCCACCATCCAAGTCATAGGCTTTTCAGGACACTCCCTAGAGACATGGTACAGGCTTGGTTTTATAGCAGAACAGGCACCATTGGACTGACTTCTGTGCTGATTGTTGCTGTGAAGAATTCTGAGCATGGAAGAGTGAAGAAGCCACAGCATTGTGAATGAGAGGATGATACCTGAAACTAGGGAGGTCATAGTAGACAGTTTGGCAAGGCCTCCTGCAAGCTTGTTGGGAACCTGTCACCATATTCTGTGAGGTCACATGTGGTCCTAGCAACACCCCAGTTCTGGATGTTGACCTATGAATAGTTCAGTCTATGGGCTGCACTTGTGGAAAGCATTTCAATCAGGAGTCTTTGTGTAGAAAAGTCTTTGTACTCAACACCAACTTACTTTTTGTAGTGTCCACACTACCATCGCTTCCATGAATTGGGTAAAGGCCTAAAGATTGAAATTAAAAAAAAAAAAGACAGTGTGTCATTCATTCAATGGCAATGTTGGAATACCAAATGCCAGATGAAGTTTACTGAGGGGAAAGAATGGTCTTAAATACTGACTTAAATCATAGTGGAAAAATTACAGGAATTTTAGGTTTAGCTCCTCCCTAATAGGTGTGTATTGTCACGAGGTGTGTGTCAGGAGGTGTGTGTCATCAAAAAATGGTAAGAGTACCAAAAAAGCCTTGGGGCAAGGAGTTCCTGCCAACAGCTTCAGGCTAGCTCAAGGCACCTCAGGGGTCCATGCAGGGCCCTACAGGTCCCCCCCGTTTTTTCAAATGTAAACTAACACCTGCCTTAGGTGGCAGAGGAAGTCAGCATAATTCCTTTCCCTGAAATACCCCTGCCAATCATATTGTATTAGCTTAGCTTAGCTGCTGCAGCACCATTATGAAGGAACCTTTGTGCACGTAGCCCCGGGTTCAGGACAGGGTCAGCAAGCCAGGGCTGCCAAACAGGATATCTGTGCCAGCCAGGAACGGAAAGTACCTGAAAAACACCCTGTGTACCCTAGATAGAGCCATTCATCTGGTTGCTATTCATCTGGTTGTTATCCATCTGGTTGCTATTCACCTGGTTACTATGTACTAAGGGAACTTGTCCTCAGAATAACCCTGGCCTCATTTGAATTGACCAATGGCATCCCTTTAACCATGCATCTCGCTTCTATACCTGCGCTTTTGCTCCCCTGTCTCTATTAAAATCCTTTTCCCCAGCCTGTCGGCGCGCAAGTCTTCAAGGAGATCTTGTCGCCCCAGGTACCTGTGTATCTGAAGAAAGCCTCTTGCTGATTGCATCCACACAAGTGCTGTCGACTGATCCTTGGGCACGGGGTCTCTCCCAAGGGAAGACACTCCTTGAGGGTCTTTCATTTGGGGGCTCGTCCGAGATAGGAGACCCTCACCCAGGGACCACTGACCCACCATCGGGAGTTAAGCTGGCCAGCACTTTGTTCGTGTTCATTGTTCATTTGTTCGTCTATGGCGCTGCGAATCTGAATTCTGTACGATTCAGCTGAGTCGGTCAGTATTCTGGCGGAATAGAGAAGGAGTTGACGAACTCGGACTTCTCTCCTGCAGCCCTGCAAGACGTTCCAGGGGTATCTGGGGCCCGACTTTTTGGGACTCATCTGTCTGAACCCACTACCAGAGTGGGACTCGTTGGGGCACAGCCCTCTTCCGAGGGGCATGTGGTTCTTCTAGGAGACGAGGGATCCGGACCCTCTTCAGAGTCTCCGTCTGTATTTTTGCTTTCGATTTTATGCCGGAGCCGCGCTGCGCATCTGTTTTGTGTTTGTCTCTGTCTCTTGTTTGGTGGCATTATCTTTGACACCCTCCTCTCTGAAGGGATGGGACAGTCTATAACAACCCCCTTAAGTCTCACTCTCCAGCACTGGGGCGACGTCCAAGACACAGCCAACAACCAGTCATTGGATGTCCGAAAGAAGAAATGGATTACTCTCTGCTAGTCCAAGTGGCCAACCTTTAATGTTGCCTGGCCGCAAGACGGGACATTTAACCTAGATACTATTTCACAGGTGAAAGCCAGAGTGATGGATCCAGGGCCACATGGCCACCCGGACAAGGTTGCCTACATCGTCACCTGGGAAGCCTTGGCTTCTGACCCTCCACCTTGGGTTAAGCCTTTCACAACCCCCGCACGTCCTTCCCTGACTCCTACCGCTCCTTCCTTACCTCCCCCTCCTCTTACCACCCGGACCACATCCTCCCTTTATTCCACCCTCATAAAGAGTACAGTGACAAGGAAACCTTTGGGAAGCTCTAAGGCAGTCAAGGAGAAGTCCAAAAGAGCACCCACTGAGGTGTTACCGCCCAGTCCTGACTCTCCTCTTATTGACTTACTCTCTGATGAACCTCACCCATACCAGGGTCCAGGAGCTGAACAACAAGGAGAAGCTGCGGCTGCAGGTCGGGGGCCTCCCGAGCGACCCCCGACCCCGGAAGCGCCTGCCCCTTCGCCGATGGCCGGGCGACTGAGAGGTCGGCGGGAGCCCCCGCCAGATTCCACTTCTCACGCTCTCCCACTCCGGACATGGCCGAACGGCCAACCTCAGTATTGGCCCTTTTCGGCCTCTGACCTCTATAATTGGAAAAATAATAACCCTTCCTTTTCCAAAGACCCCACCACCCTAACCTCTTTGATCGAGTCCATTCTAGTTGCTCATCAACCCACCTGGGATGATTGCCAGCAGTTGCTGCAGGCCCTGCTGACCTCTGAAGAGAAACAGCGGGTCTTCCTCAAGGCTCAGAAAGATGTTCCCGGTGAAAATGGCCGCCCCACGCTATTGCCTAATGAAATTGATGCTGCCTTCCCCTTGGAACGCCCTGGTTGGGATTTCACTACAGTTGAAGGTAGGAACCACCTGCGCCTCTATCACCAGTTGCTCATAGCGGGTCTCCACGGGGCAGCACGCCACCCCACCAATTTGGCCCAGGTAAAGCAGGTCATACAGGGCTCGGAGGAAACTCCATCAGCATTTTTAGAAAGACTTAAAGAAGCCTATCGTATGTATACTCCCTATGATCCAGAGGATCCAGGACAGGCTACCAATGTCTCTATGACTTTTATTTGGCAATCAGCTCCTGATATCAGAAAAAAAATTAGAGAGGCTTGATAACCTCAAGGAAAGCTCCCTACAGGATTTATTAAAAGAAGCAGAATGCATCTTTAATAAGAGAGAGACAATTGAGGAAAGAGAGGAACAGCCGTGTAAGGAGTCAGAACAGAGAGAGGAGAGATTTAGAAAGAGAGATGAGGAGAGAGAGAATGCTAGGGAACGGAAACGGAACAAAGAATTTAGCAAACTGCTGGCCACCGTCGTTTCAGGTCAGGATAGAAAAGGACTTAAGACAGGGGGAGACTGCAAGGGACCCCGAGTGGAGAAGGTCCAATGTGTCTATTGCAAGGAATGGGGACACTGGGTAAAGGACTGTCCAAAGCGACCCAGGGGGCCGAAGAAGCCCAGGCCCCCGACCTCCCTTCTGACCCTGGAGGATTAGGACAGTCGAGGCCAGGAGCCCCCCCCCCAGCCCAGGATAACTCTCAATGTTGGGGGGCAACCAGTCACCTTCCTAGTAGATACCAGAGCCCAGCACTCAGTCCTAACCCATACCTCGGGACCACTCAGTTTCCGATCGGCCTGGGTCCAAGGAGCTACAGGTGGTAAGAGATACCAATGGACGACGGATCGAAAAGTACAGCTGGCTACTGGTAAGGTGACACATTCTTTTCTGCATGTCCCAGATTGCCCTTATCCACTATTAGGAAGAGACCTCCTCACTAAATTAAAGGCTCAAATTCACTTTGAAGATAGAGGGGCTAACATAATGGGCCCCAAAGGGGCCCCCCTCCAGATTCTCACACTGCATCTGGAAGATGAATATAGACTTTATGAAACTCAAAGACCCCAGGGACCTGACATGACTCCTTGGCTTGATAAATTCCCACTGGCATGGGCCGAGACTGGGGGAATGCGATTAGCACTGCGACAGCCTCCGCTCATAATACAACTAAAGGCTACAGCTGCCCCCGTCTCCATTAAGCAATACCCCATGTCTTATGAGGCATATCAGGGAATAAAACCTCATATAAGGAGGCTGCTGGACCAGGGCATCCTCACCCCCTGTCGCTCAACCTGGAATACTCCCCTACTGCCGGTAAAGAAACCTGGTACTGGGGATTATCGGCCAGTGCAGGATTTAAGAGAGGTCAACAAGAGGGTAGAAGACATATACCCTACGGTCCCCAACCCTTATACTCTACTGAGCACACTGCCACCTTCCCACACTTGGTACACTGTATTTGATTTAAAGGATGCTTTCTTCTGCCTACAGCTGCATCCTGTGAGTCAATCTCTGTTTGCCTTTGAATGGAAGGAACCAGATCTTGGGCTCTCAGGCCAATTAACTTGGACCAGGCTTCCCCAAGGGTTCAAGAACAGCCCAACCCTCTTTGACGAGGCTTTGCATCAAGATCTGGCAGATTTCAGGGTGCAGCACCCTGCCCTGTTACTGCTCCAATATGTCTGATGCTGGCGGCAGAATCAGAACAGGAGTGCAGGGAGGGCACAGAAGCCCTCTTGCAGACACTAGGACAATTAGGATATCAGGCATCCACAAAGAAGGCCCAAATATGCCAAAAAGAGGTCATCTACCTAGGCTATCAATTAAGGGATGGACAGAGATGGCTGACTGAGGCACGTAAACAGACTATTACTGACATCCCTGCCCCTAAAAATCCCCGCCAGCTGCGGGAGTTTCTGGGGACTGCAGGGTTCTGCCGCCTCTGGATTCCAGGGTTTGCGGAGATGGCTGCACCCCCTATACCCTCTCACCAAACAAGGGACTCTGTTTAATTGGGGAGAGGAACAACAGAAGGCATTCCAGGATATTACAAAGGCCTTGCTGGCCTCCCCAGCGTTGGGCCTCCCTGATACCACCAAACCCTTCGAATTGTTTGTGGACAAATGGCAGGGCTATGCTAAAGGAGTACTCACACTCAGAGACTGGGCCCCTGGAAGCGTCCAATAGCTTACTTATCCAAGAAACTTGATCCAGTAGCGTCGGGCTGGCCACCCTGCTTGCGAATGATAGAAGCCATTGCAGTCCTTGTCAAGGATGCCGGCAAATTAACTCTGGGTCAGCCTTTAACTATCCTAGCACCCCATGCAGTAGAAGCCTTGATTAGACAACCTCCAGACTGCTGGCTCTCCAACGCCCGCATGACTCATTACCAGGCCATGCTCCTGGATGCGGACCGAGTCCAATTCAGTCCAGTGGTTGCACTTAACCCCGCCACTCTGCTCCCCCCTGCTGGGAAAGCCAGAACTGCATGACTGTCTCCAGATCCTTGCAGAAATGCACGGGACCAGACCGGACCTGAGGGATCAACCCCTCCGAGATGTAGACTACACCTGGTACAGGGATGGCAGCAGCATCCTGGTGAGCGGGGAGCGGAAGGCGGGAGCAGCCATGACCACAGAGACGGAGGTAGTCTGGGCAAAAGCCCTTCCGGCAGGCACCTCAGCCCAGAGAGCTGAGCTCATCGCACTAACCCAGGCCCTTCAGATGGCAGAAGGTAAGAGACTGAACGTCTATAAAGATAGCCGATACACCTTTGCCACTGCCCACATACATGGGGAAATTTACCGGAGGCGAGGACTATTAACTTCAGAAGGAAAAGAAATTAAAAACAAGGCTGAGATCCTGGCACTGCTAAAAGCCTTGTTTCTGCCTCAGAAATTGAGCATTTATGCATTGCCCTGGCCATCAAAGAGGCAATAGCCCGGAGGCAAAAGGGAACCGACTAGCAGACACAGTTGCAAGGGAGGCTGCCCTAAACTCCCTCAGCACCACCCGAGCCCTTCCTTTGACGTGCCCAGGGGAGAATCAGGAACTCAGACGCTCCCTGTCATATAGCCAAGAGGACATAAATCTCCTAAAGAAAATGGGGGCCACTTATGACCCCAAAAAGGGACATTGGATTTTCAAAGGAACAATCGTTAGACCCATGAGACAAACCTACGAACTGATAGACTGTTTACATAAACTAACCCATCTGAGCCCCAAAAAGATGAAGACTCTCCTAGAATGCCAGGAGATGTGACAATACCTCCTAAATAGAGACGGGGCCATACAAAAAGTAACTGATGAATGCAAAGCCTGCGCCCAGGTAAATGCAGGCAGGACTAAGCTCGAACCAGGGATCCGAGTTCGAGGACACCGTCCCGGTACCCATTGGGAAATCGATTTCACAGAGGTAAAGCCTGGATTATATGGATACAGATACCTACTGGTGTTCATAGACACCTTCTCTGGATGGGTAGAAGCTTTCCCCACAAAACATGAAATGGCAAAGACCGTGACCAAGAAACTCTTGGAAGAAATCTTCCCCAGGTATGGGATGCCCCAGATCCTGGGTACTGACAATGGGCCCATCTTCGTCTCCCAGGTAAGTCAGTTGGTGGCTAAGCTTTTGGGCATTGATTGGAAATTACATTGTGCATACAGACACCAAAGTTCAGGACAGGTAGAGTGCATGAATAGAACAATTAAGGAGACTTTGTCTAAATTAACGCTTGCAACTGTCTCTAGAGACTGGGTGCTCCTCCTGCCTTTAGCCTTATACAGGGCCCAAAACACGCCGGGCCCACATGGACTCACCCCATTTGAAATATTATATGGGGCCCCGCCCCCATTTATGAATTTCTTGGATTCCAACATTGCTGATTTTGCTAATAGTCATTCTCTGGAAGCTCATTTGCAGGCATTACAGATTGTCCAGAGAGAAGTCTGGAAACCACTTGCAGCAGCCTATCGGGAGCAGCTAGATAAGCCGGTGGTACCACACTCCTACCAGATAGGAGACACTGTATGGGTACACAGACACCAGACTAAGAACCTGGAACCCCGGTGGAAAGGACCATACACTGTCCTCTTGACTACCCTGACGGCACTAAAGGTTGACGCCATCGCAGCCTGAATCCACACTTCCCACGTCAAGGCTGACCACACCACGGGAGAGGAGAACCTGACCACGACCTCACCATGAAGAATTCAGCACACCCAAAACCCGCTAAAGCTAAGACTTACCCGTGGGGCCCCTTAACCATTTTATGGGCCTTGTTGGGACTAGGAATTGTGATGCAGGAAGGAAGCCCTCACCAAGTGTACTCTTTGACATGGCAAGTTTGGTCCCAGAGCTGGGAGGTTGTTTGGGAAATTCAGGGCAACCATGCGCTTAACACCTGGTGGCCTAATTCACCCCCGACTTTTGCCAACTGGCTGCCGGCCTGGACACTTGGGTAATCCCAACTATGGGTCCGCATAACTTACAATCATACATGGGAGCCAGACCCCAACAGATGACGGCCCATGGATGCAGCAGCCCCACCGCTAGATGCAAATTAGCCCAAACTGGTTTTTATGTTTGCCCCCGAGATAATAGAGATCAAGCCACAGCCTACCGATGTGGGGGATATGAGGCATACTTTTGCTATGAATGGGGCTGTGAGACCACTGGGGACGCCTACTGGCGGCCCTCCTCTTCCTGGGATTTGATCACAGTCAAACGAAAATATACTCTACCTGACTCTGATGGACACACTTATTATTACCAGAGAGGAACTGATGGAAATGCCAATTGGAAGAAACCACTGTCATTACCTCTCAGGATCGCATTCACAAGGCCAGGACGGCAGGCCACTGGATGGCAACAGGGGTACACTTGGGGTCTCAGATGGTATCTCCCAGGGACAGATAAAGGTGTCACTTTCAAAATTAAACATAAAGTGAACACAGCAACCCATTCCATCGGACCCAATATGGTCATAGCAGACCAAAAACCACCCTCCCAGCCGGCCCCAGTTGTACCCCCCTTATTACACCCTGTTGCCCCAACAGCCTCCTTAGCCAGCAATAGCATCCCTAGTGTGCATACCCCTACTACCACTACCTTGGCTCCCCGCCAACCTGGGACTGGGGATAGACTACTCAACTTGATACAAGGAGACTATCTGGCTCTCAACCTCACAGATACGAACAGGACACAAGATTGCTGGATATGTCTGTTGTCAAGACCTCCCTATTATGAAGGGATGGCCGTTCTAGGTAATTACACCAACCACTCCACCACACCCACCAGCTGCATTTCCACCCCCCAACACAAGCTGACCCTATCTGAAGCATCTGGGCAGGGACTCTGTATAGGGACTGTTCCCAAAACCCACCAGGCCTTATGTAAAACAACCCAACATATGTCCACAGGAGCCTATTACTTAGCAGCCCCCGATGGGACTTACTGGGCATGTAGCACCGGCCTGACCCCATGTGTGTCTGTTCAAGTACTGAATACAATGATTATTGTATTCTGGTTGAATTATGGCCCAAAATAACATACCATGATCCAGAATACATTTACAGTCATTTTGAAGGGAGACCCCGATTTAAGAGAGAACCAGTATCTCTAACTCTGGCCTTGTTACTGGGAGATATCACCATGGGGGGAATAGCGGCAGGAGTGGGTACAGGCACTGCTGCTCTTATAGAAACCGGCCAATTTAAACAACTGCAGGCTGCCATGCACACTAACATCAAGGCACTGGAAGAATCGGTTAACCTCCCTCTCAGAGGTGGTCCTACAAAACAGGAGAGGATTAGATATGATATTTTTACGAGAGGGAGGATTATGCGGGGCACTCAAGGAGGAATGCTGTTTCTACGCAGATCACACCGGGTTAGTAAGAGACAGCATGGCAAAACTTAGGGAAAGATTAAAACAAAGACAAAAGCTATTCGAATCTCAGCAAGGATGGTTTGAAGGATGGGTCAATAGGTCCCCCTGGTTCACCACCCTATTGTCCTCTTTGATGGGTCCCTTGATCATCCTACTCCTAATCCTCCTGTTTGGACCTTGCATCCTCAACCGCTTAGTCCAATTCATGAAGGATAGACTCTGTCATCCAGGCTCTGGTTCTCACCCAACAGTATCAGCGATTAAAACAAATAGACCAATCCGACCCTGACTTCATAGAACTAACATAGACCACATGAATGGAAGATTCCATTCAAAGCCAGAAGAGAAATGGGGGAATGAAAGACCCCCGCTAATCATATTATATTAGCTTAGCTTAGCTGCTGCAGCACCATTATGAAGGAACCTTTGTGCACGTAGCCCCGGGTTCAGGACAGGGTCAGCAAGCTAGGGCTGCCAAACAGGATATCTGTGCCAGCCAGGAATGGAAAGTACCTGAAAAACACCCTGTGTACCCTAGATAGAGCCATTCATCTGCTTGCTATTCATCTGGTTGTTATTCATCTGGTTGCTATTCATCTGGTTGCTATTCACCTGGTTACTATGTACTAAGGGAACTTGTCCTCAGAATAACCCTGGCCTCATTTGAATTGACCAATGGCATCCCTGTAACCATGCATCTCGCTTCTGTACCTGCGCATTTGCTCCCCTGTCTCTATAAAAATCCCTTTCCCCAGCCTTTCGGCACGCAAGTCTTCAAGGAGATCTTGTTGCCCCAGATACCTGTGTATCCGAATAAAGCCTCTGGCTGATTGCATCCGCACGAGTGGTCTCGACTGATCCTTGGGCACGGGGTCTCTCCCGAGGGAAGACACTCCTTGAGGGTCTTTCATCCCATCATTGGAGAGGTCACCCAGGCCTGTAACCTACCTGTCTTTGGTTGGATATTTGCCCCCTCTGCCTTACCCATTACTGGGGAATAGTTTGTCAGGCACAAGTGGGCAGAGGCATTTTCTCTTGAGCCAAAGACAGTATCTGTGTTGTTTGAAAGTTGTCGTGGGCCTCTCTAATGCTGTGGCAAAGTAGCACCAAGTGCAAGGGCTACAAACCCCAATGATCTGCTCACATGTTGAAGTCCTTGTAAAAGACCTTCTGCATTGGCAAGTGACACTCAGGTTTCATAGATGTTAATGATCTGCATGGGTAAAGCATGTGTATAACTTAAAAACTGATCACTCCAGGATTTCTGGAGAAAAAATGATGCATTAACAGAGATATGTGTAAAAGACAGAGAACAAGAAGCCATATGAGCTCCTCACAAAAATTCAAGTATTCCTACAAGAGGTTAGTTTGTAAATTTAGTTTAAAAATGCCAATTTGTACTAGATAATAAGTGTGATTTGGGTGGCTAAGGCTTAACCCAAATCACCTGATAGTTGATCAGTGCTTGCAGTATTTACAGATTGGGAGAGGGCTATGATAGAAACTGTTGCTTCAGTGGTGAAGGCAGCACTAGCAGTCATGATCATAAAATCTCCTTTCCTCTCTGTTCCACACCTGGGTACGTGGCCCCCGACAGCTTTTATAGTTGGCAGACCTGCTGAGAAAAATGAAACTTTCTCCAAAATTAGTAGCATTAGTTACAAAAAAAGAACGGAACCAGAATACAATGCCTGAGATAAAGGTGAAATTCTTGTCCTTTGAATCAAAGTGTAAATTTATAGCCACTGGATCCAAATTATAATTAATAGTCAGGAAAAAAATGCCACATATGGCTACTCAGACCCACAGGCATCAGGATGGGTAGATTCTTGAAGACCCATCGGACCTTCCTTCTGGCTGTTACAATCACTGTCCCTCCGCATATGGCGAATCAGCCGCTCAGGCACCCAAACAGGGTTATCTGCATCTTGTGGAAAGACACAAACTGACCCTCAGGCCCATAGTAGAACTGGGTTGGGGCCGCACAGTTTTCCAGTAGGGACAGTTTTCCACATAACTAAACCATAGTCACATGACTGAGGGCGCCAATGACTGTTGGCTGCAGATCGAGCAGCACCATCAATAGTTAAAAATTTTTAAATATAAAGGACAAGAGAAAGGTGACTATGAGAAGACCCTGTAAACTCCACCTGTTTTGTTTTATGAAGTAGGCTTTAATTGTGCAAAGAGCACCTTCCACCATGTCCTGACCCTGAGGATATTAAGGGATACTCATCTTATGTGGGATAAAAAAAAATTTTTGCAAAAAGAGTTAAAACTCTGACTAGTATAAGCAAGGCCATTATCAGTTTTTATTGTCTGGGCATTCCCATATAAGCAAAGGCTTATAAACAATGGCTTTTAACTTCCTTAAGCCTTTCTCCAGTATGACCAGAGGCAAATATGAGATGAGAATGTGTATCCACAGATACATGAACAAGTTGTAGTCGACCAAAGGAAGGATCATGGGTAACATCCATCTGCCAGATATCATTAGGTGTGACAACACGGGGGTTAACTTCAAGGTGTGGAAAAGGTAAGAACTCTGCACATAGGGGACAATTCTTAACTATATCAATAGCTTGTTATCTAGCAATTTTAAAATGGAATTTAAGTGACCCTGTGTCGCGCGCAACCTTTGCCGATAAGGAAGACGCGGCAACCGAAGATTTGTCCAGCAGAATCTTTATTGTAGAGCTCTTTACATGCTGATGGAGAAGGACCCCAAGCCCCAAATGCGCACGGCTTAAATAGCCCGCAGGGCGACGTATTCGTCTGTGATTGGTGCTCCGCAAAACGCCCAAATGATATAGCCTCTCTGATAGGGAGAGCTACCATATAGAAATTACCATATAGTAGCGCATGTGCAATTAACATAGCTAATGCTGTAAACAAGAACCAGGAAGCAGGAAGCCAGCGCCATCTTGTAATGGTGAATACGGCTCCCGACATCTCCCCCTTTCTTTTAAATTATATGCAGAGCCAGACACATTACCATGAGGTTTCAGATCAGCCTGCTGAATCAACAGCTTGAGCGATCAAGGAGGTTACACAGTAAACGAGACCCTTTGCATCGGAGACCCCGTGCAATGGGAACCTGAGCCCTGGGAGATGCAGAGGTCTGTCCAGAACAACATCCTGGTGCAATGGGAACCTGTGCCCTTCAGGAGCGTTTGGAGTTCTGACAGCGTCTCAACGGCTTAGCATACTTAACCATACTTGGGGGGATGCTCCCTGCTCAACAGCCA